GCGGTGTCACTGCGACCCGAGGTGACCTTTGTCTTCTTGAAGCTAAATTGACTGGGTGTGTACATGTACCATAATAGATACTACCGAAATCACTCGTATAAGTACGAACAGAAGAAACGCATAACAATTCTTGCTACATATAAATATGCGTTAGGGCGATAAGGTTAACCTATCATCCGGCGCACGCGAGACAAGTTGAACGAAGGTCGTCTAAACTGATTATATGTATTGTCCGTTTCTATCAATTTGTCCGTCTATTAGAGATGCTTAAGTTGAGACTAAGACAGGTTTAGGGTTATCTTATTCTACGGTTGGTTTCCGCTAATCAAGCCAGTCACCATCACTCTAAAGCGAAAAATTCTCACTCAAGTCACAAGTCATTAAGGAATTCTTTTACAAGCTGCGGATCATTATCTGGTTGACGGCCTGCCGAGTAGTGCGCTCGTGCACGCGACGACGTAGGTCAATTGAGCGAGAATGCAGCGAATGCTCATTCTAAGAGGGATTGTCGCCCGTTTGGGTTAATTCTCCGCCAGATACGCTTCCAAGAAAGTAAGTATTAATACTACCTGTCTATTGTTGATATGTCTCGCGCTCGTACTGACTTCTCTACAGTGTGTTTCTTATGTGACTTTATTTAGATCAGTGGGTGTTTTTGGTAATACAAGTATTCTACTCTTCAACTGCGATTACATTCTTTACCATGGAGATACCTCTTCCGAACCAATTGCGCTGTGAAGTGACGGTAAAAGCTGGAGACCTCTTGAGCGATGCCGCGATAAAGGAGTTGCTTTGACTTTTGATATCGACGTATCGGAAGGCTACTATGTTTTAAGAGCAAAAGTTAAGTCGGCGTTCGCTAGCAAGGAGCGTCTGTGCTGGAACGATGACCTGGATGTCTACATCAAGCTTGCCAAGAATGCTCCGCAGAAAGCATTTGTGAAGCTAGATCAAGATGGATTCTTGCCTTTGCTTCAAGCCGCATGGCGTAACGCACGGCTACGACGTGCTGGGCAAGATGATTTTTCTCTAAACCTTTTTGTTTATGTAGAGAGACCGAAAAGGACACCTACTGCTACGCTTCATCGAGCGACGGAGAATCGGGTACAACAAGTCCTACCACGTGTCCAACAAGCGCTACAATCGGCCAATGTATCCTTTGGTCCTGCTACGTTGCGCTATGCTGCAACTGCCCTAGCCAGATTGCCGGATAGTGAAGAAGTACGAGTTCCAGACAACACGACGTTCCGTCAGCTACAGCACATTGATAGCTTGGAGCAACAGGCAGTCAGCAACGTGAGGGAGCCGGATGAATTTGCTCCCATTCAAGTGATGATCAACGACTCAACGGTGACGTTAAGGATGCGGGTGCAGGACATTCGATGCGCATTGGGATTGCCACCGTACCCGCTGTGTCCTCCATTCCGCCAACCTCCCATATACGTTCCACCACCAGCTCATGACATGGAGGACGTCGACCATGTCCTCAGCGACGATGGAAACGACAATGATTTGGCTGAATTTGCGGTTTAAGAAGTTTATTAATTGGCAATATTCAAAGCAGCTTCTAAGTACCCACAATGGCGATATAATCCGTAGCTAACTTGGTTATATACTTTAGTACACTCCCGTAGAGCAGCATTGATAACTGCAACAGACGCCTCCTTGAAAGCCAGACTAGCATTCTTGATTATCCAGCGTTTCAAAAGGGAGAACCCAACTTCAATAGGGTTCAAATCTGGTGAATACGGGGGCAGGAAGAACAAAAGTGCTCCTGTAGAGTGAACCAGATCCTGCAACTCCGCATACATATGAATTTTAGCATTGTCAAGAACAACAATTGACCGTGGCAGCGGGTATCGGTTGAGGTAGGGCGCTATTTTCGTCGCAAAAACTTGATGGAACTCTTTCCTGGTGAATGTGTCAAAAGTATGACCCCACGAAAAAAAAAACATTCACATCCATGGCAGCTAGTACAGATAAACGTTGACCTCGTGAGGATGGTAGGCTGACGACGGCTGGTGTTCCTCGTTTCGACCAAGCGTGTTTTCGTAAAACGCTCCTACATATAAAAAAAAAGTTAGATAAATAGTATTTTTTAGGAAATGAAAAACAATAAAATATTATATTCTTACCGCCCGTCTTTTGATGTTTCGTCCACGAAGACGAGTTGTTCCGGACCACGATAAAAAGGTAATAACCTTCCTGCATATTCTTGATGCTCAGGAGGCGCTGACTCTCTGGCTCGTTTTGTTAGCTTTTTTCTTGTGAGGTCCAGATCGAAGCGTAAAGCACGGCATATTGAGGCTGTGGAAGTGTTTTTGATATTGCCGAATTGGCGCCGCAGTTCGTCTTGCAGTTCTTCAATATAAAAACAAGGATGCTCTTTTACGTATTTTTCGACAAAAAGAATGACCTGACGTGGCCACTTGCTGCTGCGCTCTTGCCCTTTACATTTTTTGCACGGGGATCCCGTCTTCTCGAACCTTGTGTTCCAGCGGCGAACACTGCGTTCGTGGCTACCAAAAATCGTTCCAACCATAGATGCCTCCATGCCGTAAATGTAAACGAGGACAATAGCTCGCCAGCGCAAGTCCCCTGAGTAAGTCATTGTTTAGTAGATAATCTCCGAATGGCCAACAAATTCGTGGCATTCGGAGGAAGTGCGCTTAACACTGAGCATAAGGGCAAACATAGGTCGCTGCTGATTGGATCGGCTAATCTAGATGTGTCTTAATCGTTGGCGCAGCTCTCTTAATCTGACCTCGTGTACCTAGCCCTAGTGTGTCTTGAGCACGTTACACTGAGTGTAAGAGCTCGTTTTGGACAATCCATCTGAAACGGATAATAGCAAGAATTGTTATGCGTTTCTTCTGTTCGTACTTATAGGAGTGATTTCGGTAGTATCTATTATGGTACATGTACACACCCAGTCAATTTAGCTTCAAGAAGACAAAGGTCACCTCGGGTCGCAGTGACACCGCCTTGGCAGGAGGAGAAATGGAGCTTGACGAGGAGGCGAAAGAGGATTTCGACGAGCATGGTTTAGGTGGGGAGGATCTTGACGCTCAGATCGAAGCTGT